AACTCTAACTATTCTATGATTCTATGAAATACATACAGCAAATGATCCTATTGCTCTGACAGACTTCCTTCTTTTCCTTGCTCCCCAAGGAAACAACATCCAAAATTGTATTGGAAGATACCTCTCCAGTGTCAACTTGAGTAACTATCTGAACAGAGCAAACATGGCCTAGTCAATTTGTTTGGACAACTTTAAATTCATATGAATGATACAGAGGAGTGGAACAACTGTTTAAAACAATCAGAAAAAAAAAATCATATATAGGAAAAACTGCTAGAACGAGAGAGTATTACTGTTCAAGAGAAGGGAAAGACCTATCTTCAGGGCACCAGTAACAACTGCAGTGAAGTTTCGTCCAAGTACAGAGTTCAGGAACGTGGTCCTTAGAACTTGAACAGATGTAGGAAAATGTAAAGACCAAGATTTCAAATCCAGATGTCTTCAGTTAATGTACTAAAATCATGGTTAGATTTCAAAATAATAAATGTGTAAGGTAGTACCTTTTTAAAACTTAGGTTAAATGCAGAACACTTATTCTGCAGATAACACGCTAAAAATCTTTACAAGTCAACAGTTCACAGTGCATACCAAATCCTCTGGATTATTTTTACTCCTTTTAACAATTATTATTCATTTGGAAGTAATAAAGTGAAAATTACTGTACTACATTGTTTTTCATTATTTATATGAGAGCAATAAGAAAAAAAAAAAACACCCTCTTTTCCTGTTAAGCTGTAACACACTGTAAAAAAAGCAAACCAGCAACAAGAGGTCTGCTTAACAAAACCCAAATCCAAGTCTTCTATGAGTTTGGTAATTAGAACATTTTTCCTTACCATTCACTTGGAGAATATGAGTTTGATAGAGCTTATCATAGCCATCAGCATAGCAGGTGTAATTTCCCATATGAGTTGTGGTAACCTTAGTAATGTACAAGGACCCATCATCTCCAAAATCCTACCAAGAAAGATTAAAACCAAGGTTATCATAATTATGCCTGCATCTCTATAGTACTTATGTTCATCATCTTGGCAACAAAGCTGTGATGCAAATACCAAACATCATAAATATGAAATCAAAATAGCTGACAGTAGTCTGAAACCCAAATATTATATTTGTGAATGGTAGAGTTGTTTGATCTTGCCACACACATTGTGTCTGCAAAAGAAAATAAAACTATTATTTTAACAACTAGTTAAACACTGCAGAAGTAATATGTTTGTTTATTTAGCTCTGATAGTTATTTGCAGAGGAAAAGCTGTTCAGGATTGGATATGATCAGATAGAAAAACTAAATCTCTGCAAAATTTACCAAGGCAAGTGACATCCTGTGGAAGTCTGTCATCGTTTGAAATGAGCAGATGCATAAAAAAAATATATCTTTTTTCTTCAACTGAAGTCACAATTTTTAACTCCATCCTTTTATATATATTTAACTGGCACAGAAGTTAGAGTAGAAAATCTGACCCTCATTTGGACTCCCCATTCAATTCTCAATTAATAAAATAGAATTTATAATTTACGACCAGTTGTAAACTATAGCAATTATTGCAAAAATATATGGAACATTTAATAGTCAGTCTTATTTTTCCTTGTTATTTTTCACGTCTGCAAGGACCATGCTAAAATAATAGTCCTAGTCTAGTTTCTTCCAGTACATGTCTCAGATTTTATAGTGCTTGTACAAGTCCAAAGTAGCTTTTTCTACATTATATTTCATGATTTACTTTTTCAAGGACATTTCTTGACAGTTAGTTTGTTTTCAGTCTCATATAACTATCTTTTTACTGTTATATATGCATTGTATTTACATAACAATTATTTGAGCAAAGAACATAAAATAGAAATGTAAAATGATGATAAATGTGTTTTAGCCTAGTAGACAGTTTCTGCTGTAAAATATTTAATTCTGAAATTAAAGTGCGTAACCTATGACAAAAAACATGCAAAACACAGTCTGTTTCAAACTAGGAAAAAGAATGCAGGATCTTGTATGGCATGTAGGTCAGCCCCTGTTCCTGAAGGAAACCTGTACTCTGTAATCATATGCCTAATGTTAATAGATTCTATCATAAACTCAGCTACCTTTCTTGTGTATTAAAAAGCTGTTTCAAAGCTTCTCAATATTCCTATGTTTACAATACAATTTTTATTTTTATCCTAAAATTATTCATGACCAGCTTGTAGCCATTTTATACTCCTTAACATAAATAGCCTCTGAAATAGCCTTTAAAATTTTTAAGTAACTTACAATATCCTTTCCTTGCAATTAACCACAGGATACGGCACTATAAAATATACACATATACACATTACAATTATATGCAACACAAATATTCACACACACATGCTCACACATAGAGCCCAAAGTATCCAACAGGTGTCTGATTCACTAGAATAGGAATAATCACCAAGCTACAATAGCTACGTGCCTCATTAGATTCAGTGATTCATTACAGAAGCAGTGTTGTAAACTGATTTCAGGGATCTGGGGTTCCTGAAGGCAAGTGTTACCGGTAAAGACCACGGCAAAGGAAGCTTTCGGTACATCAGCCTCTTCTACTTATTTTGTCACCAGGTCCTGTGCCCTACTCAGCAGCAGGCTCGTATTTTCCCTACTCTTCCTTTTGTTACTGATACAGCCCTGAAGCCCTGTAGGAGCTCTTCATATCCCTCACCAGATTCAGTTTCAGGGGGGCTTTATCTTTCCTAATCCTGCACATTCAAATGGTGTTGCAATGTTCTTCCTGGGTCACCTGTCCTTGCTTCTGTCATTTTTCCTTTTTATTCAAGGCCTCTGGCTGTCTTCTATTTCCTGTTCATTGCGACAAACTGTTCTTAAGCATACAGGAGGTAGGTGATCCTTAAAAACAAACCAGCTGTCTTAGACCCCTCTTCTTTTCAGCATGGTCTCCTATGGGATTCTTCCAAGTACGTCCCTGAAGAGACTGAAGTCTCTCTCAGTCTGAAGTCAGCTCTCCAGAAATCTAGGTTTATGCTCCTGCTTTTTGCCTTGATGCCTCTTCCTAGGCTCCTTCACTCTACCATCCTGACCTTATATCCACAACCAACTCAAATTCCCCAAATTCACAGAACAGTATTACAGCTTTTAAAAACAGAAAACTCAGCTGTAATATCTCACTCAGGGAGCCTGTAAGCTGCAGAGTAAATGAACTTAGATAAAAAAATATTACTATGTGCTGCCTTGTTCCTGCATTCTATCCTTTGAACATTATCAATGACAAAATACTGAACTAGATTAACCTCTGGACCATGATGACAACTCTTATATTCTTCCATGATCCCATCTACCACTTTCATAAGTTATTTGGATTTATTTTTTTCAGTCCCCACTTCCTAGTTTTAATTCTTTCCCAGAGAACATAATCTCGGTGATTTTATGTTCATATTTCACTCAAGCTGCCTTTCACTATAACATCTTTAGTCTTCTTGTAAATTGAAACGTAAATATGAACCTTGATGAACTTGCCTTAATTTCTCACTTTTTTTCTTTAAATATACTTGAAATATTCAGGGGAACTTTAGGTTAGATATAAGGAAGAAGTTCTTCACAGTGAGGGTGGTGAGGCACTGGAATAGGTTGCCCAAGGAAGCTGTGAATGCTCCAACCCTGGAGGTGTTCAAGGCCAGGCTGGACAGAGCCTTGGGTGACACAGTTTAGTGTGTGGTGTCCCTGCTCATGGCAGGGGGGTTGGAACTAGATGATCTTAAGGTCCTTTCCAACCCTAACTATTCTATGATTCTATGATTGTTAAAAAAACCCTAAACATAGGTCTCACTGTATTCCTTCTCCCAAATATGTTTGGGCAACTAAATTTCACACAGCACAACTGTGCTTCAGATGATTCTTATAGTTGCTTATTAAGAGAAGAAAACAACCCACCTAAAAGTTAACCCATTCGGTAAGACTGCCAACAACCTGCCTTAAGATAACTGTTGCTTTCTGTATTAGCACTTCAGTTACACAGACAATATTCCTACCAAGTCTTCAATATGCCATTATATGTTACCATTACAAAAAATAATAAAAATAAAAAGAAATAAATAATAAAAAAACCTTTAATGCTTACTTTTTAACCTTGATTATATGAATGAATACAACTGGATTTCCTGTCAAAAAACACACCTGAAGAGCTCCAACAATCTTTCTTATTTGATATTTTTTATTTTTACTTCTTTCCAATGTACTTGAGGTGCAATCATCTTTCATCCCCTTACTAGCTAAATACTCTTTCAAAGTGGTGTTGTTCAAGTTATTAGTCGAAGAATGAAGAACATTTAAAAGAACCACACTAGAGGTACTTTTATTCAGCAAATGCCTAATATTGCTGCCTACAATTTTTTGCCTAAGTATCTGTCAAAGGTATTTGTGAACAAAATACGACATAGAATGGAGTGTATTAACATTTAGCTGTTGCAATGCAGTCTGGGGACTTGTTTAATTTAACATTCCTTATGCTAAGTTATTAGATATTGCTTTGAAGCACACTTACCCATTCCAGGCCTTTGTCTAATTCATTATAGTATGATGATATCTTTAGGTACCCTAGCTACTTTCCAAGTAAAAGGATACCTGTGTTACCACTTCTTCCTTCATTTTCATAGAAATCATGGATAAAACATCCCTGCAACTATTTTACTGAGATAGCTGTATTTCAACGGGATTCCCACATGACATCATTTCATTGCTCAGAGAGTTTGAATTTTATGGATGGCTTTTTTGTTTTTCTTGCTGTTGTGCTTTGTTTTCTTGTTTGGTTTGGTTTGTTTTTTTTTTACAACTACAAATGTCGCTAGGTGAGTTCAGTGTTTGGTTTTTTAATTAAAGCAAACAGTTCCATACAAAGAAAACTTAATGTTAAGCAGCTTTGGAAAGGGATGATGAAGTATAAACGGAGTTCTTCAGCACTGAATGTTGACATATATTTAGTGGTTTATAGAATAACTCATAAGCTAAGTCATTGAAAAAGCCTGCACCTGTAGACACACAAGCATAACTGAACCAGAACCTTCAAACATCAACAGCACTGCATATAGAAAAGGGGGGTTTTACCTTTTGAAAAAATACTCGGTTATCCTAAAAAAATTGCTACAAGCTCAATTTTTGCTAAATAGCCTACTGTTCAAATGGTGTGATACTTCTACAATTAAATTGAGAAATTATTTTTGTCATACATAAAAAAAGACAGAATTGAACAATTATTTTAACAATTATTCCACTGCAACTCTATTCTGTTCAAGGACTTGACATTTAAGAATCATGATACGAGTCACGAATAATAAGTAAAGAAATATGGAAAAAAAACATTCGTCAGTGAATCTTTCCTTAGTTGTCTTAGTGTTAATACAACAGAACTTAAAGGTGATTTTTGTTTTTAAACCAGTAATTACTTCCTTCACTTTTATAACTTGCTTTCATATGCTAATGCTTTTCATATGAGAGAGTCTATGATCATTTGCCTGCACTTCTTCATTAACAGCTCTAGAAAGACTGTTGCCAGCATTCTCCCCACTGGAGAATGTATAATGAAACATACTGCTTGAATTTGTTCATCATCATATAGACTAGGATTTATTTGGTTTGTGGTTTTTTTTCACATCTTAGTTAATTTATTATCAATATATTGCTCTCTTAAGTAACTTTTTTTTTTGCTTTGACTAGAAAACCTTGTGTACTCCAAATCTTGACTATTCTTTCATCTAGAGATCACAGTGTTCACATTCACCCTAAAAAACATCTCCCTCAGAATGAAAATTAAAAGTATCATGTCTTCATTTTCCTTTTCATTCAGCGCATCTACACTGTTCCCCCTGCCCAAATCTCATTTCTAACATATAACCAAGAAATCAGATCAGAGAATTTATGAAGTTCAGAAAATTGAATTGGGAATGAAGTCTAGATTTAGGTGGTCCAAAGCTATTATACCCAAAACTGA